AAGGCTTGTGTGGTAGCTCTGATCCCTTCAATATTCTTCCAGGCAGCTTTCAGCTACACAGTTTGATGTTTGGCCTGTGGTTATTGTGGTGGGGTTTTTTAGGTTGTTTTTTTTGTTTGGTTTGGGTTGTTTTAAGCCTTCCATCTAGGCTGCCTTAGATGGACTTTACAGCACAATTTTGTGGGAGCAAAGTGTCAGATGATTTAGTAAGATCCCAAAGTCCATTTTTGCCAAACCTGTGAAAGAATTTGTCATTTGGAGTAATACAAGGAAGTGTGTAGTTTACCAGCTGCCAACTCAGTATTTGGTTTGCTTTGGTTTGTCCTTTAGAAGAAAGCCCTGATAGAATTTTACAGCAGCAAACTTAAATCTGTGCTTCAAACTGGATGGACTGTGTATGGGTTCCAGTAGCAGCACAGTCAGTGTGTGCTGCATATTGACTTGGGTGATGACATTTGCATTGTGAAACCTCAGGAAATTTGGTTGCCTTTCATGTAAATAATGAGTCCGTTGCGAGGTGGGTTTTTTTTAGCATTTTCTGAATTTATTTTTTTTACTGTAGGAAAGTATCAACTTGAATGTTGGAGATGAGTTATACAGCAAAGGAAAACCAAGAGTGGTGATCTTGCACGTATTGCTCAACCTGAGCAGTGCTGGTTAGAATTCCCTCGTGGTTACTTTGCTGTGGATTTTATTTGGACAAAGATTTATGCAATGGCTATTTGGGGACATCCTGTCCCCTGTGGCATGCAGCAGCCAGCTCTGCTTTCCACACCCTGTGTCTTGAGACAGATTTGTTTCCCCTGGGTTGAAGTCCTGGTCTTGTTGATGGAGGCAAAAGAGCAGCAATGGCTGTAGAGCATCTTCCATCCTCAGTGTCTCCAATGTGGCTGGGCATGAGGGATCGTCCTCTGGCTTGTGGAGCCCTGTGGTCTTCTTTGGGTCTGAAGAAAGGTTCTGGTTCTCCAGATAGCTGGGTAAAGAAACTGGAGTGGGTCACTCATTGTGAAGAGGGAAATCATGGAGGAAGGGCTACGGTTTTCCAGTGCCTGGTCTGGCCTCCTTGCCCTGTGTAAGAGTAGCACAGGGTAAGAAACCTGGCTCTCTGAGCCATCCTTTCCTCCACAGATGTGGTGTCACTGGGTGGTACTATGGGGGGTGGTTGGTGGCAGCTGGGACAGAAACCTGCTCCATCCAGCTCAGCTGCTTTTGGCGCGGGGATGTGGTCAGTCTGAGGTTGAACCTGGTCCGTTTTCTTTCTACAGAGGAGGTTATGCTGGCAGAGGAAGACAAGAACGCAGAAGAGAAGTCTCCTCTGGACGGTAGGTTGTTTTGCTGTGCAGTTTTTCTCCTGTGGCACCCGAGGTTGAGCTGCTGAACGCCGACACCAGGAGGGTGCGAGGAGCACCCTCGTGCATGCGCTTGGCATCCGTCGGGCCAAAGAGCCCCTGCTCCCGTACCGGGTCTTTTTGAGGTTGCAGGTGGCTGAGGAGCAGTTATGTGACACTCCACTCCGGGCTGGGGACCTGCCCTCGGGGTCTGTCAGTGCCTGTGCTGCCCGCAAGGTGCTGGGGCAGCCGCCGAGCTGTGCCCGGCGCGGCTGGCGGTGGCAGGGCTGGGCTGCAGCAGGGACCGAGAGGAGGCAGGGCTCTAAACCGAGGTTTTCCAAACGGATTCGACAAAGAGGCTAAGACCCCTGTTCCTTGTAAGCAGTAAGACATAACAGGGTGTGGTGATCCTACCTGCCGACGCGTGACTTCGGCCGCAGCGGGGGCCGCTCTCCCTGTGCCCCCCAGGACCCCTGAGCTCTTTAGGGCGCGACAGCCGAGTCGAAGTTCAGCGAAAGGTTCTTCCCTCTCCCTTTTCTGACCATCTTTCGTCCTCCCATGTCTCCTTCCTTTCCCCTTCCCCTCCCTTTCCCCCCTCTTTTGTTTTTCTCCTCCAGCTCACAGGCAGGGGCGGACTAGCAGCGGCAGCAGCTACAACAGTGAGTGCTCTGCAACATCACCAGGGGCTCAGGTGGCACAGGGGGGCAGTGCTTCTCCTTCCCCCCACCCTCCCCGAATGCCCAGGTCACCGGTGCTGGTTCCCGGGGTGGTTTTTGCACCTTTGCTCCGAGCCACGCGGCTCCTTGTGCCGGGGTGACCTGCGCTCGAGGAGGACTCGGGGATGGAAGAGCTGGGGCTGCAGAAGGTCAGGGCTTGAGGTGTGCTTGGCAAATCTTGGTGTGTCTGCCTGGGTGTGTGGACGTGCGGCTGGGGAAGTTTGTCCGGCCACGTGGGTGCAGCCAGGGTTGTTTTAGGCTCAAGCTGAAATGAGTATCTGGAGGAGTAGGCTGAAAATCCAAGTGGTGAAGCAAACTAGAGGTGAGTCCAGCCCATGGAGTAAAGACCCAGGTATACTGAGGCTCCCTCCATACTAGGAAGCTAAAGGAGTCCAACAACATTCCCAGACTTGAAGCCAACTGGTGCAGAGCAGCCCACATCTACTCCCGTAAATGATCTTAGTCTCCAAAGCCAAAAGGCTGTTGCATCCAAGGAGCCTGTAGAGTTGGCAAAACCTAATTGCTAAACATGTGCAGGCGTTAAGCAGGGGAGAAGAGAAAGAAGAAGATGCTCAATTCATGCCAGAGAGCATTGTAAAACTTTACTCCCCAGGGCCGATTATGTTCCAGTGCTGGGGATGGCCCTGGATGTGCTGGAGTGTACTGGGACAGATGCAGCCTGAAGGACTCCAAAGCTGAGACTGAGGATTCAGCCTCCTGCTGGGTGGGGAAGAAAAGAGCAAAAGCAGTTATTTGCCAAAAATTGGCTCCAGGTCACAGGTTCAGAGCATCCTCTCCAAACCCCAGTGATGTTCTGGGTGTTGCCTTGAAGTGACAGAAGCACCAACGCTTGTCTTGGCCGTGCATCCGTTTCCCTGTGGAGGCAGGGAAAGCTGTGTAGAGTGAGGGGGGCTTCTCACGTGAGCCCCCTCCCCACACCCTCCACTTGTGCAGTCGTTGCAGAGTGAGTGGTTTTGCTGTGTGTGCCTACTGAACAGTACGTATCACCACACCGTGGGGTGTCTTACTGCTGATAGCAAATGGTGCTTAGTTACTGTATGTCTTGAGGCTGTTACCAAACTGTATCAACCTATCTTTTTCTGCTAGTTCTCGAGGTCTTTCAGGTAGGTGGTGATGGGAGCAGTGTCCATGCTGGTCCTACCTTAATTAACCCTTGTGCACTGGGTGAGCAGTGCAGACCTCTCCCAGCCTTAGGCTGCAGTTCTCTCTCCCTACCAAGTAAATCGGTGTGACAACATTTGCCCTCCCCACCAAACATCCTGTTGGACAAAGTGTTTTCAAAGAGTTATGACATCCCCAGAGGGAAGGAATTGTACAGTGGGTGCTATTAAGATTATGCTCACTGGTTTGTGGCAGTTGCTTTTGATGTGGCACTTCTGCTCCTTAAGGCTTGCTCGGTGATAAACTGCATCCCGGCACCATAAATGCTAACTTCTTAATGGTGCACAATGTAAACACCATTAATGTTTTTAATGGCTAGAAGCACTCATCTCCTAACCCACGGGGGCTCAGAAAGATCCAGTGTCCCTGCCCAGCCTTTCTGCTGTACTAAAAGGTCCAGCAGCTGTGGTGACTACCCCAACACCCCCTGCCTCCTGCAACTGCTGGGCTGCAGTCTAAGCATGCAAACCTGTGCCTGGCAAACCTGCAAGGTCCAGAAGGTCAAATAAATAAAGGACCCTGACATCTAAGCCCTACAAAGTTGTAGGTTGTCTGACTTGTTTCAGCTTCCCCTAATGTGACAACTTGAAGCTGGCACTGGGAAGCAAATGGTGACCCTGGAGAGTGAAGGGAGGGGGAGATAAAATCCACTCTGAATGTTCACGGGGTATTTTCTCTTTAATTTGCACACAGTGTTGAAAAGAGCTGCAATAAAGAAGAGCAAAAATGACCTGATTCATGCTGAAGAAGGTGAGGACCATTTCACAGACATTTGCTCTGTTGGTGAGTACTGGCTTCGCATTCCCTGAGGTTTAGTTCTCCACCTGAATGGGTTCTTGGCACGTTTCCTCTGAGCAGTTTGTTGCTCCAGAAGCTGCAGGTTCAAGGAGGACAGTTATGCCTGCTCCTGCAGCAGCACTCAACTTACCAAAGCTAATGGCTTGGTGGCTTCACCCTCTTGTCATGCTGCCCTGCTCAGCTATTGCATGCTGCACCCCTTGGAAAAGCCCTGCTTGGAGAATCCATGCTGTGTTGGCCAGGCTGTGGTTCTGCTTGGAACATGCTCGTTTATGGTAATGAAGCCTAAATATGTCAAATGATGCTGCTAAACCTCATCTGTTGTGGGGAGGAGAGGAAGTGGACACTTAGTCACATCTGCCACTAAAGCATGGTATATAGCTCTGCAGCCTTTACTGTGTGGGGAGATTGGGACAGTGGCCCTGAGTCTCTCAGTCTTGCCTTAGAAAAACATTTGAAAGCAATTCATCACATTTTTAAAGGCAAATGTGGAGATAAACACTTGTGTACCTGCAATTACCTGCATACCTGGAAAGAGAGTGCAGCACTGATGGTGGGAGTTTGGTATCTTTGGCCCTGGAGAACAGAGCAGTGTCGGGATGCAGAGGTGCTGCTGGTTTTGGAGCCAGCAGGGAGAGCTGGTCCCTCTGGCAGAGTTGCCAGTAGAAAGGCAGGAGCTGGTCTAGGTGAGGGGGGAGACAGGCTGAGAGCAGACAGCACCCTGAGAGGAGCTCTCTGGACATCAGCAGAAAGACTTTCCAGGCCTGGGCTTTTACTTGCTGTCTGGGGAGACATCTTCCTGCCTGCTTTGGAGTTAGCTCTGTGCTTCTTCCTGTCCCTGATGTTGGAGCCTGGGTTTTGTTTTGCTGCTGAAGCAGCAGATGTTCTCATTATCTCCCAAAGAACTGCCTTGGCACCCCAGTTACCACAAAGCAGCAAATCCTGGATGCAGAAGAGCAGCAGCACAAACAGTACATTTGAGAGTATGTGTCTGTACATCCGTGTGAGCACCAGTGCCTCAAATGCTCTTTGGAATTCTGTCATTAACATTTAAAGAGATGACAGCTGCTGCTGGATCCCCTCCCCTCCTTTCAATGAAGACCTGGTTGCAGCAAATGAGTGTTTCTCAGCACATCACGGACACCATCACCCACTGCTGAACTGCCCCAATCCCCCAGGCTGCAGATTTTGTGACTGAACTGCTGACACCTCTATGAGGGGGTTGTTGTTGAAAGAGGGGAAGAAAAATGCAGCAACAGCGGGCATTTTGGTTTTTGTTTCATTCCGGGCAGCTCAGCTCCCTGCGTGGATAACAAGGATCGGTCCTTTTGGTGGCCCATTTGTTCATGGTTGCTAATCATGATGAGATCTTTGCATTCATATCCAAGTCCCTCCAGGCTCTGGGCACCCATGCCACGCAAACAGATCTTTGGAGTCAGGGTTTCAGGTGGCAACGGATGACGGAGCATCTGGACTCGGGGCTGATCTGATGCGGAGCTGGGAACTGTCTCGGGAGCAGATGGCAGGGAAAATAACAGCAGTGCTTTCCACCTTCTGCGAGTGGTTCACCCACTTGGGGAAAGTGTTTTTGCTTTTGGTTTGTGGTGCGAGGCAGAGAAGAAGAAATGGATAAAGCAGCTAGTGCTGCAGGCTCCTGAAAAGGCTGAAACTCTGCATAATATCAACAATCAGATCATATGGGCAATTACGCATAACGAAGCTGTTTTTGAGAAGAGGGTTTTTTGGATGGTTTCCTATAATGTCTTTGCTGATGGGAGCATAAGGAGGGGGGAAGAATGAACAACACAATTACTGAGTGCAACGTGAAGATGAGGGGTAGACACTTTGACAGGTCTCTTGCTGGCTGTTGGCTGAATGTGTGCTCTTTAATTCAAACACAGATGCCTCAATGAGCCTTATAATTGTGTTCTAAAGCTCCATAGTGGTAAACAATTCCTAGTGTGTTCTCTGGAGTTATTTTTAACATTTATTCTTTTCTTTTGCCCTAACTCTCAGCCTTTCTTTCTGCACTAGTAAAGTCAGCAGTAGGTGCTGGTTCCTTCTGCCTTCCCACTCTCCACGCTGTAACAGCCACGGGACCCTGTCTTGATTGCCAGACAGAGAACTCTGGAGAAGTGGATGCTTTCTACTTTTAGATCAGTTGAAATACTGCTGCTTTTATTTTCTGGAAGATCAGCAGAGCCAGCAGAGAGGGGACAAAAGGGCAGCAGACTATTCCCACGTGCATCTGAGAGTATAGATTGGCTTGAAAATCTGAGAGGTGTTAACCTGCTAATGAGTGTGACAATAAGGTGGTGTCTTAACCTCTGGTTCATTTTGTTGTCTTAAAGCAGCAGAGAAGCACCATGATTAGTATTATTTATTTATTTATTTTTAACTGCTAAAAGGAGGATTATCTGACTTAACAGAACCAGAACACTGAGCTTTTCTGCAAAGAGTTTGCTCAGACCCTGGCCAGGGCCAGCCCTGCACTCAGTGTGTTGGTGGGCAGCCAGAAATGTGAAATGCAAGAACTTGTGTTGCACCTGGGGAGGCTGTGGGGCTTGGAGAGCCCTTTGCTGTCACATGTGGGTGCTTCAGCCTTTCTGTGGGTGCTGGGTTTGTTGTTAATGTGGGATGAAACAGGATGAGATTCCCACCCCTTCCGAGTGGGGAAATGTGAGTGCACCCAAGAACAGAGGCTAGAACACTTGGTTCATGTTACTGAACCATCTCCAGAGGCAGCCCATGCAAGTCACCTGTTCTCAGGGTGCTTGGTCCAAGACAGGACCTGATGTCCTGGTCAGCTCTATCAGCTGGGAGGCTCCATCCCATGATGTGGAAGGACCTTGCTACAAATCACCTTGCTACAAACCATCTCAAAACAAAGCTTGTCTGTGATTTCTGAGGGGTGCCACAGGCAGAGGCCAGCTTGCAGCAACCATGATCTGCTCTGCTTGAAGCAGCATCTGTGGCTGTCACAGAGGACCTCCAAGGGACCTGTGTGTGTCACTCACACATGCCCACTTCTCCTGTCTCAGAGCTGGCTGAAGGTGACTTGTGTATCATTTGTTTGAACAGTGCCTGTTGCCACAGGGGGAGAGCTTATATTAGAAATAGTTTCTTCCATCAGGTTCCTAATATTAAAGGAGTTGACTCTTTTCCAAGGTTTCAGGCCAGACTCCAAACATAGCTGATACAGGCAGAACTGGTACAAATGAGTAGCTGTGTCCAAAACTTGATGCATGGAGGCAGATTGAGCCCTCTGCAGTAGAAATATTTGAAGATGGAGAGTAAAATGAGGAGATTTCACCCAGTTCAGTGGTACGGGTTGGGCCTTGGTCCTTGGTCCTTGGAGCAGGGGAAACTGGCAACAAGAAAGCTGCCACCCAGCTCCAAGAGGGTGTGATCCACACCACGGGCAGAAACACCACTGTGCCTGGTGCTTTCTATCCTTCCCAGTCAACCAGCAACCTGAACGTTTTGTATTAAAGTGGAAAAATCAGGATCGTTTCAAAGGCTTGGAAGCCCAGTTTCTTTAGGTGAGCATTTAGGTGAATATTTTTCTTTAGCTGAGCATTCATTCATGAAGTTGTAAACCCCCAACCTTCATGCCTCATGAAGTCATTGCAAGCAAGATGCCCTTGCTCTGCCCATACTCAGTGTGCCCAGCTTCCTGCTCAGCCCTGTTGCTGGTGTTTGGGAGAGGGTCCGTGTGCCCAGGAACCTCCTCCAGCCTTTCACCTGCTGGGATGTGGTGTTTGTGACTCTTTTTTCTGTCCCAGGGTCTCCTTTTGCCCGTGCCAGTTTGAAGAGTGGGAAGAATGAGAGCTCATCCTACTTCAGGAGGAAAGAGAAAATGTTCCGGTTCTTCATTCGGCGCATGGTGAAAGCTCAGAGCTTCTACTGGATTGTCCTCTGTGTGGTGGCCCTCAACACCCTCTGCGTTGCCATGGTACACTACGACCAGCCAGAGAAGCTCACCACTGCCCTGTGTGAGTACTCAGGACTCCACTTTTCTTCTAGTGAGGCCTTGAATTCTGATCACCCCGAGCGCTGCTGTCACACCCCAAAAGGTCTGGTTCTTGGCTTCCCCAGTCTCTTTTGAAGGAGGGTCAGAAATGCATAAATTCTAGTAATTCAAGAGTAAACAGAGAATCATAGAATGGTTTGGGTTCAAAGGGACCTTAAAGATCATCTCATCCCACCCCCCCTGCCATGGGCAGGGACACCTCCCACCAGCCCAGGCTGCTCCAAGCCCCATCCAACCTGCCCTTCAACACTGCCAGGGATGGGGCAGCCACAGCTTCCCTGGACAACCTGGGCCAGGCTCTCCCCACCCTCCTAGTGAAGAATTTTCTCCCAATGTCTAATCTACATTTCACTTATTCCAGTTTTAACCCATTACCCCTTGTCCTCTCAATTCAGAAAAAATCCACTGGGACACGATACTATTTTGAGATGGGAATATGACCCTAAACATCAGCTGCAGCTTCAGATTCAACCACATTTAAATCTTGTCACATGGCAGAAAGATTTGTTCTTCATCAGATTTTAAGAGAGAGGAAATGGGTCTGTACTTGGGTACAGGCAGGTTGCTCTGGTTAACCATCATTTGCCCAGAGATCTGCAGGTTTCCCACCACTTTGCAGCTGATTTGCATCCACAGGAGGTGTCTGTGGTGGACATACCTGAGTCTCTGCCAGCTCAGATGTCCCTGGGCTACCTGGGAGACAAAACTATCTATCTGTGCTTATAGAATCATGCACTAATACACTCCTGTTGAAGAAGTGTTGCCATGGTCTTTGAAAGGTTGCAACTTTACAAAAGGTTTGTTCTCATCATTGTGGCTTCCTCTTGAGTTGTGTGATTCCTTCCTTTCTGGTGTGTGATGAGATGGGAGAGAGATCATGGTACCATTCTGTGAAAATAGAGATCATACCATAACAGAAGATTATACCAGATTTGTGCAAAAGCTTCTATTTTAGCTTGGTTCCTGTGGCCACCTCTCAGTTAATGCTTCAGGCAGTCTAGAAGTACTTTTGAAGTATTGTTTGTTTTGTTTAGTTGTGGGTTTGTTGGTTGGTTGGTTTTTTTCATTGCCTATTTTTGGCTCCATGATGAATCATGAACAGGCAGGTTTTTGCAGTCAGAGCCTTTAGCCTCACAGTGTTACTCTGAGGTTGCAAAGTTGCTCACAAAGCCTCCTTTGAAGAAATGTGGAAGGTGAGGGACAGAGCTTTTTGTTTCTTTGGAGGGAGGTTGTAGGATGTGACTCCCAGAGCTGGAAAACTTGTGGAAATTGGTAAGGTAAGAACACGGTGACACTGAGGGTGGCACAAAGCAAGAGTTTCCTTCTGAAGGGAAGGTTGGAGAGCTTGTTCCTGGAAGACAGAGCCTTTCTGACTCTTTACATTGGCCAGGATTAAGTCTCTTGTTCAGCACCTTGATTTTCAGATGTGGGTAGTTCAGCATTTGTGAAGTAAAACTGAAGCAAGTGAACAGAAGACCAGGAAAAATTATTCCAAAATATTTCAAACCTTCCAACTTTATAACGTTTGCTTAAATGATTAAAGATAGATATCTACCTATTTTTCCTTGATTTCTGTATAAATGAGATACTTAAATTCTATCTCCAGATCTTCAGGTCTTTATTATAAGGAAAAAAACATCTTTTGAAGTGTTTTTTTAATAGACCTAAAAGGTCAAGAACCCTGGCTGCTCCAACTTCAAAAAACTCCCTATTAATGTTTGCTGAATATTTAATACCACCAGGTAACTGGAGCTATGATGAGAGGTGTATAAGAAGAACAGAAATTTCTTTCAACTTTGGTTTGGTTTGGGTTTGTTTGGGGCTTCTTTTTTTGGTAAGATTTAGACTGCAAAGAGAAATGGGTTTACACAGAGAAGTCAGTCCTGATTATTCATTTCCTCAATTTAACTGAGGAAATAATAAGCTGGATTGGCAGAGTAATCAGAAGTTGGAGGCTTAGGATTTCCTCTTGAATTAGGACTAAGTGTCTAGAAAAAAACTCCTGCTTTAAATCTTCAGATTTATAAACTCATTTTGGGAACACCTCATCCTGTGACTTTTCTGAGGGAACATGAAGAAAACCATGAGGCAGCAACTTCCACTTCATATTCACGTGAGATCACAAATAGGTTTTTTAATAGAATGAAAGTTACACCTCCAGGTGGGGATTGTGTCTGTGACAGAACCCACAATTTAGGGTCCCAACCTACCTCAGATGAAGACAAAATATATGAAAGGTTGAAATTCTGTTGTGCCTGGGATCAGGGATTGGGGTGGGTCCTCCTCTCAGGAGCTCTGCGTCTGCCCAGAGCTGTGAGTGGTTTCAGAAACACTTGGGTAACATGCAGGAATTCCTTGGTGCTGAGATACCACCTAGCTAAGAATGAGGGGTCCCTTGAATGGAAAAGTCAGAAAAACACCAAAAAAAGGTGTTCTTGGGAATTCAGTCCTCAGCTTCTTTCCAGCATTCCTGGGTCTCATCTGCCCTGTCTCCATCTTCCTATAATTTCACCACCGTTTTCTTGTCAGACTTCAGTGTCCTTTGTCCATAAGGAAACACCTGGAGAGATGTTTTTTTCAAATGAAACCCTTAGATTTACTAAAATTGAAAAGAGAAGTGGCCACAGATAAGTGGCCCTCACTGTAACTGCTGAGGGGCAGCACAGAAGTGAGTCCTGGACAAAACTAGAATATCTGAGGAGCTGCAGGTTTGGTGGATGTTCCCACGTAGGTGTAAACATTGGGTCTTTCACTGGAGGGCTACAAGATTTGCCACTGTGACATAAAGGATTAAAAGCCAGGGATGCAGAATGATTGGTCATCATGGAAATTCTAAGATACTCTAGATAATTATCTTTGTTTTGGTGTTTTTTTTCAAAGAGAGTTTTCTCCAGGCCAAGAAGCAGAGGTGCCATGGGTTCATTCTGGCCTATCTTACTGCAAAGTGTAATGGAAACTCTTGGAAGAAACATGTTTGAATGGAATATGAGAACTAAGATCTTCTGAGAACTGTCCTCTCAAAAGCCTTACAACCTCTACCTCTTCAATTAGAGTTCCTCCCAACCCTCCCAGCTCATCAGGATGATGAGCTGTAGTGTTGGATTCACACCTGCCTTTGCATTGGTAGCAAGCTAGAGGTTCCTGCCCACTTTTCTGGGGAAGTTATAGTTTTCATAGCATAATCTTCCCTACTGATCTGAAGTTTCATCTTGAGTGCAGGGAATATTTTATATCTTAAGGTACAGGGGACTTTGTGTGGACTTAACAGGTTGTTTTGCTATTGGAGATACGGTAAGAGAGGACTTGGTCCCTCTCACTCCTGCCTGCACCACATGGTAGCCAGCCTGGTTGACCCTGCAGTAAACACATTTACCTGGCTGTGGTTTAGTCCTCCAGGAGAGCTCCTTGAAATTCCTGTCCTGCCCAGGATTTGTGCACAAATCCCTCAGATAGAGGCAGAACGAGATATGACAAACCCAGGGGATTTTAAACAGCTCCTGGAAATATTTGGCAAAATCCTTTAACTGTAAGAGTGACAGAGCTTAAAAATGGCTTTAAAGTTAATCCCTGGTGAGTGAATTTTGCTACAGAGAAGCAGGACTTGGCTGGTCTGATGGAGAGCAAGAGAGAAGTCGCCAATTCTAATTATGTTGCTTCATGGAAGGTGCTTAGAAATGAACTGAGGAGGAGTTTTGGGAACTGTAGCAGTGGGTAAAGTCTGGGAGGATCTGCTAAACTCTGAAACTCTGCCCAGGCACCTCTGATTCAATTAGACCTGTCCCTCGGGGGAAAAGTTTAATTACATTACAAATTAATTTTACTTAAAGAATGGTTGGTAAAATCCTAGGGGTCTGTGCTGCTTCATTTTCCCCTTGGTCTTTTCTTTTTAACTTCTCTGTTCTTAAATTGTTCTGATTAGCTTTCTCAGCTTGACATCCACGTGGCTGCAAACCTCTCTGGAAAAGGAGCAGTAGGAGCTCCAGAGAGGGGCTTGGGATTTCTTTAGTCCTCCTGAAAGAGTTGGTGAGACATTATTTTAATTCTTGGGGTGGGATGAATACAGGGCACAATTTGTGCCCCTGTGATTAGCCTCAAATTGGATCAGAGGTTTTCCCTCTCTGTATGGAAAGGACCCCAGTGTCAACTTGCAGCAGGAGTTTTCTCATCCTGCACATAGACACTTGGTGTGTTCTGCTCATGAAGCACCAACCTTTGGTTAAACAGGTTGCAGATCCTTATCAAAATATGTATTTCATGCAGCCACCCATGATTATCATCTGTTTGCCTTCATTTCCACCATTGTTAGTGTTTTCAGAAAGAACAGGCTCCTGTCAGAAGCCACCTCTGGAATCTAGCCTAGAAAATCGTAACAGAGATCTAGTAGCAGCCAAGATACCTCTTCACCCAAGGACAACAAACCAAATCCCTGTTGTGGGCACACCGTGGAGATGCAGCACAAAGGGACTGTCAGGCAGGACTGTCCATTTTCAAAATACCTGTGATACCTTGAGCAGAAGTTGGACGCCTGATGTGGAGGCAGCTGAAGGCATTGGTGTGCCCTGTGCTGTGCAGGAGGCAGCAGAAGTGGTGCTGCTGGTGGTCTCCTCTTCCTCTGGCTAAAGCTGGGGACGAAGGCTGGAACCAGAGCTCCCTTGCCTCCCCAGGGTGGGATCTGGGGGTCATTGTGAGAAGGTTTCAGGATTGGATCAGTAAAGTTTCACATGGCCTTCTCTGCCCTTCATGAAGTAGCTCTCTCCTTTTTTCTCCAGCGAACACTAGAGTGATCCTTAAGTTGCTCCTCAGTTTATATCTGTGTGAGAACAAGATCCAGAATGTCTCCTTTCTAATAAATACACTATTTGAAAACAGTATTTTAATGATGATGGCCTGGGAATGTCTCCCATGTGTGCCTGACAATGCTGAACCATGTCTTTGGTGCAATTGGGCCTTTTTGGATGATGCTTTTTACCTTTGAACTAGATAGCCAGCTCCCTCTGGGCATAAATGTGGAGCATTTGCAATTGCAAGGAAAAGACTTTCTGAAGCAAGAATATTTCTTTGTCTGCTGAACTTCTCATGTCTGCTTTGTCAAGGAGAAGGAAGTTAGACTGGGCTGAGGTTCTCCTCCTGGTTGGCTTAATGTGTGAGGAGAATGAAGAGAAAGAACCAAAGCAATAGGCTTGGTACCTGCTCCTAATGACATTGGACTGCAAGACAGGACAGAAATGGAATAAATCCAAGGGTGATTGACTAAAAAGAGCTGCTAACTGTCTAATTCAAACGTATGGGGCAAAAAGTTGCTAACATGGCCTTTGCCAATAGCACAGATTTGAAATTAAATAAGAGTATTTGTATCAAAGTTCTTTTCCTGAAATCACATTATAAAATGCTTCTGCTTAAGGCAGATTAAATTACATGTAAGGTCTGAATACCAGGAGGTCCAGACAATGAAATTGCATTTTCAATTATATGGGCAGGGCCATGTCAGAAGAAATTGTGTCTCTGATCCATCTGCTGGAGAAGCTGATTCATCCTGAGTCAATCCCTTCTGCCCAGGGAGTCATTAGGTCTGTTTTTTTCCTGCCTCCATCCCTTGTCCTCACAGTGCTGTGACTTGTAGCATCTGGTACCTGCTGAAATACAGCTGATTTGGACTCTGATCTAGATGGAAGTCATCAGCTGTGACAGGACAAGCTGGGTGGTTCTTTCAGGAGCAGCGGAATAAAGTTGTTCTTGCATGTCCTGAGTGTCTCACATTTCCTGTTCCTTGTATTATTTAATCAAATTTTATTTGATTCTGTTTTACTTAGGGCATTTGTTATCTTTTTTTTTTTTTCCCTGTGATGTTCTGGTTTTATATGTGTGTTTGCAGGATGTGTCAGTCTGATGATGGAAAATTGCACTTGTTGATACCTGGGTTTTGTTGGTACCTCTGCTGGGTTGGTGACTGAACACTAATCCTTGTTTCTTTCCTCCTTTTTCTCCTTGAAATGGTGGTAATAGCCTTGGTGAAGTGTACTGAGACCTGTTGGTGAAAATTATAGTAGAAAATAACCCCCCTATCTGGTGGTTTTGTTATTCTGTGAGAGAACACGGGGTGTATCCCAAATGTAACTCTTGCAGGTGAGCCTGGTGGAGAGATAAGAGGAGAAGCATCTCCCTGCCAGCAGGAGATATGAAGCAGGCAGAGATCACACAATGCTTTCTGCAGGCCTGATCTCCAGCCCCTCCTGTCATTTTACATTTTCCCTGCTAACTCAGCAAAGCCACCCGAGCCAAAGCTTTGGTTTGATGTCACCCCTGGTGACAGGGAGACTGTGCATTGGAGTCATCCCAGTGAGCACGGCTGGGCTTGCTGAGCCTGCAGCCCGGGAGAGGAGTGGGGACATCCCAGCCAGGGAAAGACACATGTCAGCACAAACCCTGCTGCAAACTGTCCCTCTGGGCTGGGGGAGCCAGCAGCAGCAGCACAAACCCTTCCTCCACACCCAGAGAAGATGTGTCTGCTTTACTGGGGGAGTTTTGCCTTCTCTTTCTTACCCTTTCCAAGCACACAGGGTGCAGAATGGAAGGTCAGGATCAGCCCTGGGAGCTTGTTTAAGCTTCTGATTTACAGGGCCAGCTAGTAATGAGTAAGGGTTTTAACATTCTCACTGCTTCACAAGTGTGTTCTTTTTAATTAAATGCAAGGGATTTCAACACCACTGAATGAATGGTTTTTAGCTGTTCTGAATGTTGATATTAATTGATTTGTCAGCCATTTCATATTATGCCTGTCCCTGGTTCACTGGGTCCCTTCCTCACACCCTCTGCTCTCCTACAGCCAGGTGAGTTGCTTGAAACTGTGGGTAACTTGATTCTGGGACCCACTGTTTTGGAGACAACTCTTTGCTTGCTGAGTTGCCCCATGTCAGAAAGGAGAGAAAAGTTGCAAGATGTTGCAGGTGGGACCCTGTTTCTCCAAGCAAATTGCAGGCTCAGAGGGTGAGGGAGTGTGTGTGCTGCTCCTCCTTGTGCCCATGCCCCTGTGGTGGGGCTGATGGAGCCTACCCCTAGGTCCAAAAAAAGCTGAGAACTCAGCAGACCTCATACATGGTCATCTTATTCCTCAACACTTTGCCCTTGATAATGTCCTTTAACGATACTGCTCCTATTTTCAAGGAGAACATATTACATGGTGTAATTGATACTCTCCTGGTACTTTCTCTCCTATTGCAAATGTTGGCACAAGTGTCCTTGTAGGCTCCTCACTGATCTGTAAGAAAACCTTTCTCATTTGGTTCATGTTTCCTGGATTTCAGTGAACCTTATGCTCATGATATTTCACTGCTGTCTTTTGTTTAAAATTGCAACCCCCTTTTTTTAAAATTATTTTTTGATGCTTGAAGCTGTATTTTTTCAGCTCCAAATGGCAGCATCAGTGGGAGATGTTGTGAGGGACCTCAGATGGACCTGGGCCATCCATGCTCCTTTAATGTGAACGTGCCAGGCAGAGAGGGGGGTGAAAGCCACACAGGTTGGAAGGACCCTCCTTCTCTCCTCTTTCCCAGGCACCTTAGCTCAAGCCACATATTGCAGCAGGTTTGCAAAGCACTTGGCACTCAGGATTCCTTGAGATGTTCCTTGCTGTCCATGGGCACCTTTGAGCAAAGTTTGGCTGCATCTTTATCATTCCTGGAATCATGAAGCTGAAATTACAGATGACTTTGCTGTAGCACCTGTGCTGCTACAGCATCTGAGAACCTCCTGGACTGTGCTGAGCAGTGGGATTAACCTCCACCCTTCCCAGTTTGATTCTTTTCCTCATCTTTTCTCCAGAAGGAGATGTTTCCCTTGTCCTAGTTGGTTTGTTTTGGTAGTGTAGAGGGTCTTGCCCTTCTCCTGTTTGTATTCAACATTCTGTTGTTTCTGTTGATGATTGGCCTCCAGATCTAAGCTTGCATAACTTAAAATGCCACAGGCAGTGTTTTCTGTATCTTCCAATCCTAAAAAAACTTGGTGTGGAAATGGAAGTCTCCAGGTATGTTCTTTCTGCCCTTTGTTTCAGCACAGGCGATAAATTTTCCCATCAAAAGCTTCACAGCCAGTTTGCCTGTGAGAGGTGAAGCAGAAGGAAACAGAACTTGTGCTTCCATAATGATGTGGTCATACAGGCATCAGAAAAATCCATGTGGCCACGTGCTACCAGGAGACACAGCAGCTCTGCCTGTCAGCTCTGAGGGGCAGCAGTTTTGTGGGGTGTCGAGATACTTTTATCACGAGAGGAAATTAAAAAAGCTTCCACCTTGCTCCCCAAAAGCTCCCAGACCTGCCAGTCTCATGCAGGTACAGAAACCCCAAGCATCTATTTGCAAAACATGAGCTGTGCAATGAAATGGGACCCTTAGAAATGTCAGCTCCAGAGCTTTGTTTTGAAATTCCTTTGCTCAGATGATGAGAATATGATTTAATGCTCCCATCAGTGTTCCCTCAGCACACATGGAGTGTTGCCTTCAGTTTGTGAGGGATAAATGCAGCTCCTGTGCATATAGAAATCATTATGTGAAACTGTCCTTAGGGCCTTGTTGGTCACTGCAGAAGGATTTTCTTCTGGCAGGAGGCAGTTTGTGTAGTGAGGAACTACCACTGTTCCCCACGTGCAGAGATCCTCCTACCAAGGTCCTGGGGACTGATTGAATCTCTTTTTCCTTCTTCCAGATTTTGCAGAGTTTGTTTTTCTGGGTCTGTTCCTGACCGAGATGTCTTTGAAGATGTATGGACTGGGGCCAAGGAACTACTTCCACTCTTCCTTCAACTGCTTTGACTTTGGGGTGAGCGTGGGGGGTGTGGGTGAAGTGGGGGGCGTTTGGGTGAAGTGGGGTCGTGTGGGTGAAGTGGGGGGCGTTTGGGTGAAGTGGGGTCGTGTGGGTGAAGTGGGGGGCGTTTGGGTGAAGTGGGGTCGTGTGGGTGAAGTGGGGGGCGTTTGGGTGAAGTGGGGTCGTGTGGGTGAAGTGGGGGGCGTTTGGGTGAAGTGGGGTCGTGTGGGTGAAGTGGGGGGCGTTTGGGTGAAGTGGGGTCGTGTGGGTGAAGTGGGGGGCGTTTGGGTGAAGTGGGGTCGTGTGGGTGAAGTGGGGGGCGTTTGGGTGAAGTGGGGTCGTGTGGGTGAAGTGGGGGGCGTTTGGGTGAAGTGGGGTCGTGTGGGTGAAGTGGGGGGCGTTTGGGTGAAGTGGGGTCGTGTGGGTGAAGTGGGGGGCGTTTGGGTGAAGTGGGGTCGTGTGGGTGAAGTGGGGGGCGTTTGGGTGAAGTGGGGTCGTGTGGGTGAAGTGGGGTCGTGTGGGTGAAGTGGGGTGTGTGTGGGGGGTGTGAGTGAAGTGGGGGATGTGGGTAAGGTGTGGAATGAAGTGGAGTGTGTGTGGGGTGTGGGTGAAGTGTGGGGCTCTCCCGTTATTTAGTGGGGCTGGACCTTTAAGGTTGAGCACTGGAATCCATGGGACATGGGGCTGAAAATGTGTGTTTCCTGCTGGGAGCAGTCATTGGATGGATCAGCTGCAGACAAAGGCATAAAGCTTCCCCCAGTTATCTTCTCTTTG